CTCCACCCCCAGCCAGCTGGCCAACCTCCCGCAGTCCCTCCCCATGGCCGGCTGGCCCTGATTGGGACTGGATGAGAAGGTCCTGTTTGGCCCCGATCGCCGGCCAGGCCAAGGGACCCCACCTGTGCACGAATTTGTGCACCAGGCCTCTAGTCTATAATATGAAGCCAATGATAGTACTTCCTTCAAAGACTTAGGGTGAGGATCACATGAGATAATGCAGGTAATATAAATAAGATGCTTGGCATAGTGCCTGGCACATAGTAAATGCTTTAAAAAAATATACCAGTGATGGTGATTGAGCTTGATGGAAGACTTGCTGTGTGACCTTGGACAAGTCCTTTGCCTTCTCTGGGCCTGTTCCCTTACCCCTACCACCAATAGTAGAAATGATCATTTTGTCCCTGCACAGGGTGGTTGGAAAGCTCAGGGAAGAAACTGGAAATGAAGATTCTTTTAAGTTTTTTAGTGAGGCAGCAAGTTTCATATCAGCATGAGCAATTCATAGACCAGGTATTGTTGATTTAGTCAAGAAGGTCAGCACACAGGCATATTTGACCTTGTTGAATAATGGCTTTTTATTTTGGAGAACTTGGGGTAGGTCTAGCAATAACACCAGTTGAGATATGTGGGTTCAAGCCCTGCATAGAGTTGACCTTTAGACCTGATTGAACAGATTAAACCTCTGTAAATAAGCAAGGACATCTCAATCTCATCTGTCATGTTAGCTATTGTGCCAGGCACTTGAAATAAAGGACCACTTATGCTGTCCACAACCTTGACAAGTGGAGATCATTACCCCATTTTATAAATGAGTAATTTGAGGCTCAGAGAGGTTTAATGCTTTGCCCAAAGCAGGGGTCAGATGGAGATGGAAAGGGTCAATCTGGGCAGGGACAGGCTATGGCTCACGCACTTGTGCAGCACAGCAATCTCATTTTCCATGCTGCCCTCCTTGCCCTCCAGAGCCTTCTTGGCGATGCATTTGATGGCCACCAGCTTCTGAGTCCTTTTGTCTTCTGCCAGGATTACCTCTGAGAAGGCCCCACTGCAGGGAAAGGTATTCATGAGACAGGAACCTGGAACCCCAGTTTCCCTCCAGTCTTTCCTCCATTTTCTATGGTTTTTGTGACCACCTCTGGACCAAGGAGGTGGGATGAGACTCCCCCATCACTCATCTGTCCTCTAGTGCCAATCGGAGTAGTCTGTGCCCTGGCCACGGTAATTGGGTCATGTGATGCAAGCCAGGTTATTGGCACTTTGAGAATGTGGTACTCTTTCCTGCTAAGCTGGTAGAATATAAGCCTGGGAATAATGGTAGTCATCTTCTCACCACTCGGGGAGAACCTGCTTGAGAATGAAGCCAGCACAAAGGAAATCAGAGCTGAGAAATAGTCCAAGACAATTTCCTGATAACATAATGTGAGCCCCTGGATCCAGCCATGCCTGGGCTTTTTTATTATGTGCATGATTGACTCCTTTTTCTGCTAAAGCCAATGTGAGTCATGGCTAATTTAACACCCTTTAGAACCTTAAAATACCATCCGCATTACCTGGAAACTGTTTATAAATGCAGAATCTCTGCTCCCACCCCAGACCTACTAAATCAGAATCTGCATTTTAATAAGATGCTTAGTGATTTGTATGTTCACTGAAGTTTGAGAAGCAATACTTTACAACAGGCTCCTAGAAAGAAACAAACTCAGTTGCACTGGAGCTCACTGATTAAGGAGGGTTTACTAGAGTATTTTTTCTACAACGTTTTGGATAATAGGTCCTAAGTCAAATAAAAGCATCTCCCATGGTGAAATCTCAATCATCAGGTAACTAGTGACTGTGATAGTCTCATTGCTGGTTTCCAGCCCTGTTCCTCTCCACTAACTCTCCATACTGTGGTCAGAGTGACCATCTTGAATTGCAAACCTGTCAAAAAGTCTTAAATGTCTTCCTGTGGCCTGTGGAATAAAGTCCAGCCTCCATAGTTTGGCTTTCAAAGCCATGTATGACCTGTTCCCTTCTCTTCTCCAGCCTTTTCCACTCTTCCCCAGTCTCTGATGATAAGCTCCACCTGACTCTACTCCTTTCCACACAAAACATGCCTCCGAGCCTTTGCTTATGCTATTCCTTCTGCTTGGAATGTCTTTCTCTTTCTCGGACAAGTACACTCCTACCCATCTTTCAATACCCAGCTCTAATGCCCTCTTCTCCAGAAAGTATTTCCCCAGGCAGAAGCCACTGCTCTCTCTGGGCTCTACAGAGTCCTCATTCTCTTCTTTAATTGGAGCCCAGCATGCACCCTGTTGGCATTTTCCATGTGTCTGTCTCCCTCACATGTTTGAGAACAACTTGAGGGCAGAGACCAGGTTTGAGTTATTTCTGGACTCGCAGCACGGAGAACAGAGCCATGCCCAGCTATAGTTGCCAGACATAGGCCAGAACTCCCAGCCCTTGGCAGCAAGTTGAATAAACTGGCTCCTTCATTCTCCCCTACTTCCTTCTCTCCATGGGAACCCAGAGCTATGGCAAGAGCAGCTCCTGTTCTATCCAATGCCGGCCAGAAATGAAAAGCCAGTATCAGCCATGGCAAGGCTGCCATAGGGCTGGGCTGTAGGAAACAGGAAGTAGTGATCAACTGACCAGAGGAAGCACCACCCTGGACTCAGCCTTCCCAGCCAACCAGGCCAAAAGTGAAGACCTTCCCAACCCCACCTCTCAGCTCAAGGACAGCCCCCATTCTCTCCTGCCCTGAGACTCACGTTCCCAGAACATCACGGAAGTCGTAAATGTCCCTAATGTTCTCCGCCTGCTTCCAGTTGGGGCCTTCCACTGCCCCCGGCATGGCCCACTGCTCCCCGGCCACAGCCAGGGCTCCTAGAAGGGGGAATGGAGGGAAAAGACTCAATAAGGCCCAGACTTCTATGTACTGGGAGCCCCATTCTGTCATTCAGGCTGCATCTATTCATTCTTTGATTCATTTATATGACAAAATCATTTAACAAACATTCATTCATTCACCAGTCATTTATTCATTTAGAAAACCCTTATGCCTCGAGGAAAATTCTTCATGGTGGTAGCAAAATTCTTTATTCAACGAAGTCATTCACTCATTCATTTATTCAGCTCACCTCCCAGTTCCTCCCTCTCCAAATCCAAACACCCCACGGGACCCTGGCCTCCCAAAGGACAGCAGAGGCCTCAGAACAGCTTGTAGCGGCACAAAACCCGGGAGGAACCCCCTGTCCCCAGAATCAGCAATGTCCTAGCCCCACCCTCGGAATTGCTGGGGTGTCTCCTCTCCCTCCTCCTTCTCCCCACTCAGCCTCTCGGAAATCGGGCTTCCGGCAGCCAGGGCTTTCAGCAATATCTCAGCCACAGTTTTAAATAGCTCCTTCTGCATAGTTACCATGGCAACAGCAGCCACAGCTGGAACTCGCCAGGATTCCTATTTCCCCCTTCCCACCTGACTCCCTATCTGGGTCTTAGCAGCTCGAGAAATGGTTTCACCCAGCCTGTCCCCTCCTGACTTCACTTGACCCTGATCCAGCCTATACCTTATTCTGCTGAGATCCTGTCTGCAGGAGAGGATGGGAGTTATTTCTCCATTTATCAGATGGCGAATGTGGAGACAGAGGTCCAGTTTCCCAAATGAACCCCTGCTGGGGCCCAACTAAGTTTGCTGAGGGCAAAGGCCTTTAGAGGAGTCCTTCCTGGACTGGAAGGCCTGACCTCAGCTGGTCCTTCCAATATGCAGCCAGACTGGGCCCATTCAGCGAACATAACCTCTCAATCCTATCCCAGGCCCACAAAGGAAGAGGCTGAAACAGTCTAGCATGCTGTAACCTCAGGGAAGGCACTTTCCTACTCTCTGCAGGAGAATGTGGGGAAGGTGCCCTGACTACAGTCTCTGGTGTGAGATCCCACTCCTCTGATGGGACCTCCTTCCCAGGGGGGCCTGGCCAGCCACATCTTCAGAAAATGAGACTTGATGGTAAGCTCTAGAGCAGTGGTTCTCAACCTTCCTAATGCTGAGACCCTTTAATACAGTTCCTCATGTTGTGGTGACCCCCAACCATAAAATTATTTTCGTTGCTACTTCATAACTGTAATTTTGCTACTGTTATGAATCGTAATGTAAATATCTGATATGCAGGATGTATTTTCATTGTTACAAATTGAACATAAAGCATAGTGATTAATCACAAAAATAATATGTAATTATATATGTGTTTTCCGATGGTCTTAGGCGACGCCTGTAAAAGGGTCGTTTGACCCCCAAAGGGGTCGAGACCCACAGGTTGAGAGCCGATGCTCTAGAGGCAGAGTTTTATTATTAATTAATTAACTAATTAATTAATTAATTTTTAGAGGCAAAGTTTTAAAACCCACCTGGAGGCTAGCACATACAACCCTCACCATTTCAAACATGTCCTTGTACCCAGACACACCACACCAAGCCCCACCCACATCTCTAAACCCAAACACCTGCCCACAGATCCTGCACACTCCATACCCAGATACCGACACCTGATAATATATGCACACCCAGACATCAGCACATATATCCAAACACATGATCCCCCAGACATCCTCACGCCTAAACATCCCTCCCACAGTTCCCTTTCACACCTTGACACACATCTGTATGTACCCAGACCAGATGATACTCAAGAAAACAACACACTCACCCATCACCTGTATACCCGACATCCCAGATTCACTCATATCCTTCACTCTCCAGTTCCAATACACTCTAAGCTCCAATACTAGAAACCGAACCCCAACAACTTACACACTTAACTTCAAACGTCCTCAGCACACAATCATATACCCCACCCTCCACTTTTACTACCTTTTGAGATACCAGCATGCACAACACCTGGACACATATCTGCAACAGAAACACTGATTACCAGACATCCCCACCCATAAGGACACATACCAACACACTGCAACTCTGCATCTGATCCACATGCCTGTGCTAAGACATTAGCACACCCCAACACAGCCCCTCACATCTCTACCTCCAAATGCCCAGTCCTTACACATTCAGGCCCATGTGCTTGTACACACACTCACACACACACACACACACTCACACACACACATACTCCGCCCCACCTTCCTCTATTATCCATTCAGTTCCCCACCGGCCCTCCTGGCACCTGCTGGTCCTAGGGCAAAGGTAGTGGGGAAAAGGCCCACCCAGCCCTGCCCATCCAGAGTCCAGCCAGCCTCGACACCCCCTCTCCTCCTTGGGGGAGGGCATCCAGCGGCTGCAGGGTTCGGCCGCCCCTCCTAGGTGCCCAGGGTTGAAGGCGGGACGCCCCCGCTGCCCTCCCCTCCAGTACCTGCAGATGCCCCTCCTCTGGGCTGGCTGCGGGGCCCAAGG